TGAAGTAAATTCGGGACTGGGGCTAAGTTGAGGCGGGTCAGACACGGACTGGCCTTGGGCACAAAGATTTTGGGGGTGCCCCCAAATCTCGGTAAAAAAAGATAAATATGATTTTAATGCAGTATTTTAAAAACCAGAACGAATGCCAAAAAAGTCCGCAACAAACAAAATATCAAATTTTAAAATAAAGACAGGATCTGTTGTTTTATTGGGAGTTAAAATTAAAAAAAAATTTGTTTTAAATGTTTATTCATGTTTGAGAGACAGAGTGCGAGCGGGGGAGGGGCAGAGAGAGAGGGAGACACAGACTCTGAAACAGGCTCCAGGCTCTGAGCTGTCCACACAGAGCCCGACGCGGGGCTCGAACTCACGGACCGCGAGATCATGACCTGAGCGGAAATTGGACGCTTAACTGACTGAGCCACCCGGGTGCCCTTATTGGGAGTTATAATTTGAGTTGTATGCCTCTAATGTCCTGATTAACTGTAAAACCAATTCTGCTTTTAAGTATTATGATGAGAACCACGGATTACTAAATGAATAAAAAACCCTAACCAGCCAATTTATATCAGAAACAAATCATGATTTTTTTTTTTTTTCTGGGACAGCTGAACCAGAATTTCACAATATTTTATGATCCGAGCAGGTACTATTTTTGAGTCGTTCACTGACTGAAATGCCCAACCGAGTTGGTCAACAGGAACGACCCAAACAATTAAACCCTAATCTCAGTTGCAAACCTTTTTGGGTTTGTAAATTCAGCTCCCCGAGTTCTTACAGTCATCTTCACTTGCCTCGGTCCCGAAGGATCCGCCTCCTGTGCCGTGAGGAGTGTTTCTCAGGTCTGCAGAAACCCAGAGAAGAAAACTCATCTTGTGATCTGAAGGGAGATGAAAAGCATATTTTAACAGCGCATTTCCAATGCATTCTGTGCCCATCACAGAAGCATCCAAGTACCTACGTCATTTAGAAAGCTGCAGGAGAGCGAATAATGAGTGCGGAATATGCGAACGATTCATTTCGCTTTTGAAAAAAATGCAACCCAGGCAGAGAAAGCTTCGCAGAAGATCTGAAGACAAAATAAAGTCACTGCTGTTTGCAAAGTCAAGGCAGTAATGAGATGATTAAGCCAAAACAAACCTGAGATTTAACCTTAACAGGAGTGAACATTTTAATTTTTTAAAAGGTGGAGAAAGTGCCACAGAAGGGTGTCTGAGGGTTACGGAAACTGTTAGGAAAACGAGAATTCTGTGCTCTGAGCTGTTCACAGCTCTGTCCCCGGGGTGTGAAATTAGCGACGGAGGCAGATTTCACAGGCACTTCGGGAGCGTGGCGGTGTGGGGCTGCGGATTTGCGACAGGGGCCTCCCCGCCAAGTCCTGCCCACTGGCAAGCTGCTGTCTCTATTCATGCAAAGCACAGAGAACCCTGAGTGTCTGGAGCGTTTTGCATTTATATTGAACACAGACTCTCCTTCCGTGGGAGTGAGTCTAGCCCTTGGGTGGAGCGCCCCGGAAGGAAGCGTCGCGAGACGACGTTCTCACCAAAATCCTATTTTTCTCTTGTGAGAAAAACTCCATCCATATGGATTACACTTGTGGGAAATGCTGGGAAAATGTGTATAAAATAGGAATATGGTTAAAAACGTGAAACTTAAAATATCTCCAAGGGCAGCGAGGAATTCTGAGTCTGAGTTCGGGGTCTGACACGACGGGTGATGGCGTCCCCGGGACACCGCGGTCTGGAGAGCTGGTTTGGGGAAATTTACTAGAGAAGAGAAACTTGGGGAGACAGTGGATGGGAGGAGGTTGTACTTCCTGATTCTCTTCCCGTCTTTCTGGGTTTCATCCAGGTGGTTATACAGGACAACGGCCCGCAAGTGGAATTATTCCTTGTCCCGCTTTCCACCTTTGTCGCAGTTATCCGAGCTTGGTGCAGGTCCCAGAATACAGTTACCCCAACAGCCGGAGAAAACAATGGCCTCAGGAGAAAGTCTTAGCTGTTTTAGCATCTTTGGAAGCACCTGGGACTGTTGTATTGATTCACTTTGGGGAGCATTATATTTTCTAAACGCAACCCGATATCGATATCGATCGTTAGCAAATCGCTTCCCTTTCAAATGAGGTATTCACCCTTTTATGGCCTCCTTGCTGTTGGCAGGTGTTTGACATCTCCCAGACATGGTTTGAACTTTGAACAGTCTTATGGAAAATTTGAGATCGTGTCAGAACAGGCCTACCGCTCTCCCCCTGACACTGTAACAGGAACTCATACCGATATTGGCTTATTAAGTTACAGAGCATGTGGGTTCCCATCAGTCAACAGGTGAGTCAGCAATCCAAAGAGGTCTCCAAGGACCGGATTCTTTCCATCTTGGCGTTGTCTTCTGAGTGGACTTCTTTCTGCCCGAGGGAGGAGACCCTCCTGGGGACTGAGGGTCACGTGGGTTCAGAAGAAACAATCAGGCCGAGGAAAGCTTTGGAAGCTTTCTTAAAGGAGCAAGCAGGAAGTTTTCTAGAAAACTCCAGCAAACCCTTTCTGGAATCTCCTTGGCCCCAACTGCATCACATGTGTGCTCTTGACCAAATCACTGCCCAGGAAAACAGCTGGAGTCAGCTCCTCACAGGCCCGTGGGATGTGAGGGGATCAGGGGCTTCACGAGAAGCCAAGGACCCTTCCTGGGGAGGGTTGGTCGTGGATGCAGTGGGCAGTCAGCGATAGCCACCGGCTGCCTAGGAAAACCAGCCTCATCCGCCAGCCTCACTGAAGGCAAACTCTGTTGTCTTCTCCTTAGCGCTCGCATCGAACACTTCTTCCCACACTCCCCGATTCTGCAGCACAGCTGGGTGTACTGCAATTCAGTTCAGTTCTGACACTGTCCGCTCTGAGTTAGCGTCAGACCCCACAGGCCAAGGGCTCAGTCCCACAAGACCACCCCCATTTCAGACGCTAATCACAAGTCCTAGGATGTCACCTGGACTTCTGGCCGACAGGCTGTAATTTGGGGTTCCCGTGGCCACACTTTGTTGGATTTGATAATTTGCTAGAATGGACAGAACTCGGGGAAATACTTTCTTTTGTTTACCAGTTTATTACAAAGGATATAGGAAAGGATACAGGTGAACAGGGAGAGGAAGAGACACATAAGGAAGGGTCTGGAAAGGTCCTGAGTGCGGGCACTTCTGTCCTTGTACCCCATCCCCCCCGCCTGTGGATGTGTTCACCAGCCCAGATGCTCTCTGAACCCCATAGTTTAGGGATTTTTATGGAGGCTTTATCACATAGGCATGATCTGTTATCAGCTTACGCTGAAAGTTCCAGACTGCTAATCTTGGCTTGGTCCTTCTGGTGACCAGCTGCCATCCAGGAGGCCACCAAGAGTCGCTTCATTAGAACAGAAGACACTCCTATCGCCCAGGAAATTCCAAGGGATTTAGGAGCTCCGTGTCAGAAAGAAGATCAAAGGCCAAATGTTAGGACGAAACAGGGAGACCATTTTCACATACCCCTTCTTCCCTAGGGGCTGGTGTCTGATCCTCGAAAGTAATTTCACAGATGTGGACGCGGAAAAGCGATAACTCATCCAAGTTCCCACAGCCAGCGAGTGGCGGAGCTGAGCTTCGAGTCCGTGCAGCTTCCCTTGGGACCCGAACCCTGCTGGGGAAATCGAGGGCTGAATCCTCATATGTCACAGTGGCCTGTTGGCAACAAATGTCCCACGCCGTCAGAGGTAGATGTGGAGGAAACGTACCTCCCATACATATGTACACCAAGAGATATGAAAACACATCCGGAAAGAGGAGGAACAGGGACGCTCAGAGCGGCTCTCGCTGTAATAGCTCTAAACTGGAAACAACTCAAGCGTCCGTCGATGGGAAAACCACTAGTATTCGCAGTGGAATACCACTCAGCAGTGGAAAGGGAGCCACCCTTAAGGCAGGTCACAACATAGGCATTGTGAATCAGATGCATCGCTTTCAGAAGTATCTAAGTTCAGGGGCGCCTGGGTGGCTCAGTCGGTTAAGCGTCCGACTTTGGCTCAGGTCACGATCTCACGGTCCGTGAGTTCGAGCCCCGCGTCGAGCTCTGGGCTGGCGGCTCGGAGCCTGGAGCCTGCTTCCGATTCTGTGTCTCCCTGTCTCTCTGCCCCTCCCCCGTTCATGCTCTGTCTCTCTCTGTCTCAAAAATAAATAAAAACGTTAAAAAAAAAAAAAAAAAGAAGTATCTAAGTTCAGAAGCCACCAAAAAATGGTTGATCCCGGAGGGGACCAGAGGTCGGGAGCGAGAGACCAAAGACAGATGCTACATTCTCAGCCTTTCTGTCCTTGTGGTAACTTAAAAAATCACGTATTATTTAATTTAACAAAACCCAAAGGGTCCGTTTCTTCTCTCTGCCCCATGACTCTCAGGTAACAGTTTCGTTCAGTAACCGGAAGCCCCACTCACTCAAGTTCAGCTTGGATATTTGGAGGAAATAGAGGTCAGATAGATAGAACTGCATGACTCGGGTGACCAGGACTTGGTGGCACTGGCCTGAGAGGGTCTCAGCAGAGGTGGCTTATTCACAGGGAGGGACAAGCTGGGGGCGCCTCAGATGAGAATGGCCTCGAGGGTGAAGCCCCTACACTCACAGGTCACGTGTACCCGTGATGGAGGCCCCGCCACCAGCCTTGAAAGAGCCCCAGCCAGGAGCCCGTCAATGAACTAGAAAAGGTAAGTAGAGGAAAGTGTGCCATCTTACATAAATGAAGGATTCTCTGAGAAGATAGTTTCTCAAGCTGATTGGCACTGGGTTTCAAAAATGCAACTGAGGGGCGCCTGGGTGGCTCAGTCGGTTGAGCGTCCGACTTCGGCTCAGGTCATGATCTCACGGTCCGTGAGTTCGAGCCCCGCGTCGGGCTCTGTGCTGACAGCTCAGAGCCTGGAGCCTGTTTCGGATTCTGTGTCTCCCTCTCTCTCTGCCCCTCCCCCAATCATGCTCTGTCTCTCTCTGTCTCAAAAATAAATAAACGTTAAAAAAAATTATATTACAGAAACGCAACTGAAAACAACCTTTGCTGAACCAGAAACCTGGAAAGCTCCAGTGAATCTAGAACTTAAAAAAAAAAAAAAAGAGCGAGACAAAAAAGAAAAAATTAGGGGTTTGCCATGCGTATTCCATAAGTATTTACCCTGTTCAAAGAAGCAGAACTTGGAATGTGATTTGTTTTACAAAAATTCTATGTAGACAGCTCTTTCCGTACAGGTTCTAAGGCTCGTCTGCAGTCCTTAGCCTGCCCGTCGTCCGGGTCCCACCCACCCCGACTGTGTTCACACGCGCTGGGGATGGGATCCCCGCCACAAGGTGCCACACACCTGCCACAGGTGAGGAATCCAGGAGATGCTTCTTGTGGGAAGGACGCATGAAAGGTTTCTTTGTCTCGAACTAATTTTTTCCATTTGGTTTTCAAGTGCTGTATTATTAATGTTTTAGGTAAACATTCCAGGAAGACTTGGGGAATCTTTTATTGGCTTTTTTTGTTTGTTGTCGGCTTACTTTGTTTTGTTTTGGGGTCAGAACTCTTTGTAAGACACAGGAAACGACTCTGGCTGCTAGAATAGACATGAATCCAGTATTTTTGATGTTTTGATCACCTTGCTTCAGACATGGCTTTAAGACACGGCTTCTGACAGAGAGACTAGATCGTCCAGGCTTGGGTCAGCGGTCACCCCTCAAGGGAACCAGGGGCCCTGATTGGCAGATCCTCCAGTCTGTATCCAACGGTGAAAACTTTGTTCCCCAAAGAGAATTGGAAGGCTGTTATTGGAGAAAGAGAAAAATCTGATGGCAGCGTTCCATGGAAACAGTGGTTCTCAACCCTCATGACTAACTCAACACCTGCCTTTATGGCAAATATTGTGTAATGCTGCCTCACACCCCGGAAATGAAATTCATGAGTAATATGACCTACTTATACGCATAATTTAAAAAATTAGAATATTGCCCTAGTCACCATATCGAGGAGAAATAAAAGGAAATTAACTTATAGGATATTGCTTATGATAAAAATAACAAAACGGTAGAACTATACAAAATTTGAGGATAATAAAAACGCACTTGGGAGCAGCTATACTACAAGATTTAAAGAATCAGTGAGATGTTTGCTTCTGCTGTGGATGAATAAGTGTATTTAAAAGCCGCAAAACAGGGCGCCTGGTGGCTCCGTCGGTTAAGCGTCTGCCTTCGGCTCAGGTCACGATCTCTCGGTCCGTGAGTTCGAGCCACGCATCGGGCTCTCTGCTGGAGAGCCTGGAACCTGCTTCAGGTTCTGTGTCGCCCTCTCTCTCTGCCCCTCCCCCTCTCGCACGCGCTCTCTCTCTCTCTCTCTTTCTCTCTCTGTCTCAAAAATTAGCATTAAAAAAATAAAAATAAGTAAAAGCAGCAAGTCAATGAGAAGCCAGCCTGTACAAGACATATTCAAAACGAAAGAACACACGTGGGGCAGACACTGGAGTAAAACCTATTCAATGCACATGAACAGGTTCAACAAAGTCATTTGTGTTCCCAGGCTGGAGGCTCAGTTGATCACAAACAGGGCCCGTACTTAGGGGAATATCCAGAAAGACATTTACAAGCCCTGCGGGGCACAGGGGAGGATATGGTGGGAGTTGTAGCGTCCCTGGGCTCCTGTCCACTAAATGCCAGTAGCCTGTTGGGTAAAATTGGGAAAGATTTTGCAATGTGGTGGGTGTCTTCACTAGCTCATCGTCCCAGGTGATCTTCCCCTTTGCTTGTCTTAGACTAGGTTTTTATTTTTACAATCCCGTAAGGATAAAAGTTCATTTATAGCAAACTGATAGTAACGCAAATCATTCCTGTCCATAGAAATGCATGTTATGTCCAGGGGGTGTTTTTAACTGATTTTCTCCGCCGCCCCCACCCCCCCCCCCATTATGGAAGAAGTCTCTTTTGCACGTATTAATGAAATTCATTTCAACCTTCCTAATGGCCTACAAATGTGTGTGCACTTTGCATTTCTCTTTTTTATTTATTTATTTAAAAAAATTTTTTTGGTGGGGGAGGGGCAGAGAGAGAGGGAGACACAGAATCCGAAACAGGCTCCAGGCTCCGAGCTGTCAGCACAGAGCCCGACGCGGGGCTCGAACCCACAAACTGCGAGATCATGACCTGAGCCGAAGTCGGAAGCTTAACCGACTGAGCCACCCAGGCGCCCCTGGATTTTTCTTTGACTTGGTTTTAAAACTTTTCTGGCTCCTTCATTACCGCGTTCACACCTCTGACACATTCATCGAGTATTTGTCTGAGAGTCATAGTTTTACCTTTTTTTGGGGAAAATTATTCTTGAACAATCCCAACCCTTGCGTAACCAGAAGTGAGCCCCTCGACCTTTCAGGCTCCCCGTAAGGCAATACTACACGAATGGAATCACTGCGTTAACACACACGCGCGCGCGCACACATCTACGAGCCGAGAAATGACAAACCTGAAGAAACCTGATAGTCCCTTATCTCTACCCTGTGGCCGCGTAGCACGATATCTGATTGGATGCTTCATTGTTCTTGCTTCACAAACCCTCCGCTGTGGGTCCTTAGGGTTTGAGACCTCTACCTCCAGCTGCGGTCCTCAAGAGCCACACTTCGTTCACAGCCGTTTTAGTTAATCCACGATCTCAGCTTTTTGGCTCTTGCAGGAGGAAAATCACAACTCGAGATGACCCAGTACCCTTTGGCATTTCTGTGAAAGGGAATTACATCCTGTGTAATTCTAATCTTCTCCGCCACGGTTGTTTCTTTGGTGTCGTGGGGGTAGTGTTAAGCCTCAAAAGGAAAAAGAAGGAGAAAATCCGAGGAGACCACCCCCCAAGTCTGAAATCCTGTTAAACCTTCAGACAAAACCAAACCCACCAGGGCTTGACGACATGAGCTCACGGGCAGGGCGGAGCGCGGCCGTCGTGGTGCGATTCTGCGGGTTCCTTTGTGAAACCCGGGGTCCCCTCCATCCGGATGGCGGTGGACGGGGAGGGTTTCCCATTTCCCGGGTCTCCTGGTTGTTGGGCTACGTGGAACGGAAGGGACCACTCTCTGATCTCTGGGTTCGTGCTCATTTTCATAACCCTAGTCTTTTTAAGAGCAAGGGACAGAAATCATCACCGAAGACTTGCAGCAGAACACGGAAGGGGCTTGAGGCATGTGCTGTCCCAGAGATGGTGGGGCCAACTTTTGGGCTGAGGACGGTCGCGGAGCAATCAGGGGGAAATCAGAGAAAGGCTTCACAGAAGAAGTGACAGATGCAGAGGGATGAGTAGGAGCTCACCCGGAGAAGTGGGGACTGAGGGAAAGGCATGTGGGCAGAGGGAACAGTCTATGCAAAGGTATGGAGGCCCTAAGAGCTGTTGCTGACAAGAGAGTGTAGGGCGTGGCCTGCAAGTGGTGAAATTTTCTGAATGACGACTCCGTTTCTCATGTCCCCAGGCATTCCGATCCTGAGTTACCTTTTGAGAGTTGCCCGAGCGCAGGGCATGGTGGAGAACGCAGAGAAACACACAGCACATCCCGTCCTCCCGGAGCTCTCTGTAGCCAGACAGGCTCATAAAGGGGAGCAAGACTGAAGGATCTGTTAGGTGTTCAAGGCATCAGTAGATGGTCGCTGAGCACACGCTGTGGATCCGTGCCTGACTCACCGGGTAGGGACAGAGTAGCAAAGCTCATTAGATAGTGGCCGGGTCATTCATTCTTTCCTCCGTTCGTGTATTCACAAATATTTATTGGCACTTGCCTTATGTGCCTGGCACAGCTGAGGTGTTTGGGAGAGAGAGGTGAACTTAACTTGGGCCGTCGAAGCCTCTCAAGCTATTCCATTGCCTTCCCCGAGTGTCCTCCTCTTTCCTGCCCTTGACTCTCCCCCTTCCACCTGCTCTGGCCACACAGTGACAGCTTCCCTCTGACGCCGAGTCCCTAAGCCACCCAATTTCCTGTGCCTTATTAAAATGATTAAAACACAAAGTCCGAGCGCAGCTGTTATCTTTCTTGTCGATGCGCAGAGAAAAGACACAGGCAGAGAAAAGAAGAACCTAAAACGCTGTGACATTGGATATCGGTCCAGCCCAGCGAGACAAAGGCTGGACGATTCTCCGGTCGGCACGTGGCAGTTCACCAGGCGCTCGGTACGGAGACTCTTTGAAACAATGACACCGCGTGGTGGCAGCTGTCATTCACTGAGGCTCTCGGGGGCTGTCTGGTGCTGGGGAGTCAGGAAGGGAATCGTTTATACACAGGGCTTAGGTATATCAGTCAACATTCATTGAGCACTTCCTGTGTACCCGGCACGCTCTAAGCATGCCCAGGTGTCATATATAATTCTTGGGGAGGGCAGTGTTATCAGTCATGTTTCAGGGGAAACTGAGGCAGAGGATGGCGAAGTGTTTGCTCCTTGTCCCACCGCTAGTGAGAGATGGAATTTGGACTTCATTGTGGTGCGTTTACTGCACACACTGTATCCGAAAAGCCCAGGTCTGGAGGAAGAGAGCTGATGATCACGACAACCAGGATTCCGTGCCCCCAGACCCTTCTTGTACATGACCGTGGGCCGTGGGGCTGGGCTTTCATTCAGACACTCCCAGTTGGTGGAAAACAGCCTCTGAGATATTTCTCATCATGTTCCACGTTCGGGGCAACACTCTTCCATCTACTGTTGTCTGCTGCTGACTCTCTGAGTCTGTGTGCACATGCACACGTGTGTGTGTGTGTGTGTGTGTGTGTGTGTGTGTACATGTATAGTGTGTGCAGAAGCAGCATCTCTAAAGTCATACTGGGCTTGGAGCCTGGCTCAGCCACTCCCAGAAACAACCTTGGGAACACTGCTTAAACCCTCGGTGCCTCAGTTTCCTCCTCTGTCACACGGTGACAATCAACCCCACCTCATAACATCCGTCGATGTGAGCATTAGATGAATTAGTCCGTGTGGAGCTTAGATGGGGGCCCGGCACGGGGTCGGTGCTGGATGAATGTCGTTCCTTGTTACCCTGGCTCTGTTGGGCACGTAGCCCAAACTCCCTCTCCCCGGGGACGGCTCCTCTCTGGACGCAGGCGAGAGGCATCCTGGCCCCCTGGAACCTAGCTGGGTGGCCTTGAGCCAGCTGCTTCACCTCCTTGTGCCTCGGTTTCCTCCTCTGGAAAATGGGACAATAATCACACTTCCTGCCTGGGAAGGCAGGGCCATTAAGTATCCGTTGCCATTTCTACCATTACCTGCCTTGTCTCCCTTCCTCCTCCAGCTAGGTACTGAGCCATGTACTCCGCTCCACACACTCATGGCCTGGGGTCTTCCAGGTCCCTCTGCTTGGATCGCCCTCCCCTGGACCTTTATTTGGTGACTTCCTGTGCGCACGTTGTCTCCTTAGTGAGGCTTCCCCGACCGTGTATTTGATGGAGCTCTTGGCCCAGCACCGTCCATTCTCCATCCCGGCAGTCCGCCACGCACAGCTAGGGGGCAAACCCAGCCCGCTGTGTTTGTCAATAAAGTTTTATTGAAACAGCCACACCGATTCGCTTACGTGTCGTCTGTGGCTGCTTTCTCGCTACAGGACATTGTTGAATAGTTGTGACACAGACTGCGCCCCGCGGAGCCTAGAGCATTTAGCCTCTGGCCCTTTACAGAAAAGGTTTGTCGGCCCCCGTTCTGTCCACATGTCATTTGATTCCCACCGACCTTCGGTCTGGCTCCCAGTGCCAGACGCTGAGGCAAGGTAAGGGGTTTATTGTGGGACACCCTGCAGGGCAGTGGGGCAGCGGGACAGGGCAGGTGGGCTGCAAGCAAGCCCTCAGGGTCCCAGCCATCACTGGCAGAGGCATCTGGGGTGTCCGCTCCCAGCACTTCCCAGGTCAGGAGGACACCATCAGGAGGCGTCTGGGGCTCGTGGTCAGATCGCAGGTGGCAAGGACCGGCTGGCTGTGAGTGTTGACACGGGGTGTGGGCTGTGTTGACAGTCACATTGTTTTCTTGTCTGTCCTTATCTGTCCCCTGCTTGAGCAGATACTCATCACCATGGACCTTCACGGGGGAGGGACGCTGAGGAATGTCGGCTGAGGGCATCAGGGGTTCTCATCTCCCGGGGTCTCTCTACCATCACGATCACAGACGTCTGCCACGGATTCTGCCTCTTCTGTTCATTTCTGACAAGACACGGCAGGTTTGTTTGGGGTAGCAGACAAGGACGTTGAGGTCCGGAAATGTGACCTATCTCAAACCTTGTGGTTGCTCAGGGACCAAGACTCTCCAAGTCTTGCCATATCTCGACGTAATCTGTCCTCTAACCCGTGGGAGGGCAGAAGGGTTCACCCACCACCTCGCCCAGTGTCCACTGCGTGTCCTCCATGCGACCAGGGGGATCGTTAAATGCACCCAACTGTCTAAATGCTTCGAGGGCCTCACCTTACCCTAAAAATAAAGACCAAAGCTCCCAGATGTGCTGTGTCAGTTCAGGATGGTTTGATTGTGTGTAACAGAGACTTCAAATAACTGTTGCCTGAATAAAGTAGAAGAAACAGAGGAAAGATCCGGCGTGGCTGGGCCCAGTAAGTCTAGGGACAAACGTCAGGGGGCCGTCAGAGAGGCAGCCACGATCACATCCTGTGGGGCTGGTAGCGTGAGACCTTCACTCTGGGCATGGGGAAGAAGTCAGAGGATTCTGAGCAGGTGAGTAACGTGATTTTATTGACTTTGAAAGCATATGCTTGTCTCAGTCTGTGTATTAGATTTATATGAATGACTGTTCGGTTAGTATAGTATCTGCCCTCCCAATCTGTAGCCCAAATGGACCATCCATGGTGGCGGGGGCCACGCCTATGTTTTTCTCAGCGGCGTATGTCCCGCTTCTAACACATTGCTGGGCAGATGGCAGACAGTCGACAAATATTTGTTGAGGATAGAGAGAAGGGAGGGATACAGTGTTTAGGGTGGACCCCGGGGCAGCCCTCTCTCTGCCCGTTTCATACGTGTACATCCCGGGTGGACTGGCTCCGTCATCTCCCAGGCTGTGTCTACATCTGATGTTTAGCATATAAAAACCTTTCGGGAACGACCACATTGATCCTGAGGTTGCCTTCGTGCTGAGCCAGAATGAGTAATGATGCGAGGTGCTTCGACAACAATTCAACCGTCTCTTCGTTGCTCTAAAGGAGAGTGGCTAAAGAGACAGAGGCCTTCGGGGAAGCGGTTAAGCATTGTGTGTCACCCCTGAGGACAACCATAACTGGAGGATGATTTATTGCAGCCTTCTGGCACGGGAAGAGCCAATGGCTTACAGGGGAAAATAGCTCTTCCGTGGCCACCCGCCTGGAGAGTTGAGTGAGCATTTGTGCTTCGTTTAGCTGTCCAGAAACTCGGAGCTCCTTTCCTGCATCTGGCGAACTTCATACCTTACAAACTACCGGCTCAGCGGAACTCTAGCTACTCAGTTTCCCAGACTCCCTTGCAGCTAGGGCGGCAGGTGACTCCGGTTGTGCCCACGTATGTACGTAAACTTTGAATTGGAGTCTCGTCGCGTTGAGAAACAGGAACCTCATGAAATGCATTCTGGGGATGGCCAGCGAGCGGGGAGACTACGCGTCAGTGCTTCGGGCAGTGGGAGCCATAGCGTCTGCGTCCGACATACTGGAGGTATCTTCAGGTGAATAGCTCTGTGGGATGAGTCTTAGACCAAGTTCTTAGCTGGGTGGGCTTTCAGTTTGATTCTCTGGCCCTTCTGGGAAATTTCCCAGCTACCCACTGTGTTTTAGTAAAGTCCTTTTCTGCTTAAATTTACTATAAATTTACTAGTATGAGTTCTTTTGTTTTTCAACTCACCGCCCTGACTCACACCTGGTGCAGGTGCACAGAGCCGCCTCGCAGGGACCAGAGAGGCAGATGGTAAATCAAGAAGGTGCACGTGTTCTAGACTTAAGCAGGCACCTGGAAACGGGAACCAGGTAAACAACCACAGGCTGTCTACAATGGATCCCACTTACTTTCTCATAGATATTTATTAAATACTGTCTATACCAGGCACCGGGCTGGCTGCCGGGGATAAAGTACTGAATGGGACAGACAAGGTCCCTGTCCTCCTGAGGCTTCTATCCTGGGGAGTGGGGGGGGGGTAGGGAGACAGCAAGAGATAACACACAAATGAATAAATGAGATACATTCAGATTGTCGTAAGTGCTGTGAAGGAAAGGCACGCAGGGAAGGGATCTCTGATGGGTCAGTCTTAGGGATGAGAAGCAGCTGGCCAGCCTGGGGGTGGGGGAGCACGGGTGCCGGGGGGCGGGGGGAGAAATGGTAAGCGTATGGCCCTGAGCAAGACAGGACGTGGCATTGTTACAGGAGTGGTAAGGGTCCAGGCCATGCAGGGTCTCGTGGGCCACAGTGAGGAGTCTGGATGCTACTGGGTGGGAAGTCATTGGAGAGATTTACACAAAGGAGTGACATGGTATGACTTGTGTGGAAGTGTGGAAGTGGACCATGAGCCTGTGCGGGTGGCAGGGAGCGGGGGATCTGACAGGTGTGAGGGCTTGTCTACAGGGAAGCTCAGTAGAGACTCGGCACCCAGGGTTTTTGTTGGGGGTTGGTCACGTAGGCACCTTGCGGACGGGCAGAAGGACGGTGTTCCGCATAAACTACACCCTTCATCCATCCTGGGTAAAGATAGGGAGGGATATGGGGCGCCCGGGGGGCTCAGGCTGTTGAGAGCGTCCGACTTCAGCTCAAGTCACTATCTCGTGGTTCGTGAGTTCGAGTCCCACGTTGGGCTCGCTGCTGTCGGCGCAGAGCCTGCTTGGGACCCTCTGTCTCCCTCTCTCTGCCCCTCCCCCTGCTCGAAAATAAATAAACATTCCAAAAACATGAGGGGAGGGATAGAGAGAAGTGTGTGGATTCAGAGTCTACTCGGGGGTCGAGCTGTCAGGAAGTACTAATGGGTTGGGTCAGGGAACATAAGGCAGCGAGGTGTCAGTGCCTGATCATCATCAGACGGGGGGGATCATGACCATCACTGGTAATGATCACTGGGCGCTTTGGAGTTCAACCCCCACAGCTGCAGGTGTCTCTCTCACCGAGTCACAGAAATTTCACGACGAGAAGATTCTTAGCAGCCTCTGATATAACTACTTCCTTTGACAAGTGAGGAAACTGAGGCCCCGGGGAGAGTTAGCAGTCGGCTCAAGACTGGAATGTCCATTCTCTGATTTCGAAGTAAGTGCTCCTCCAATAATGCCCTTTTGAGGACAACTAAAAAGATCGGAGTAATAGAATGGGAAAGCCGGAAATGACCGTGGGCAGGTTACTAAGCTACCGTCTCTTGGCCGCCAACGTACCCTTCTAAACTGTTCTGTAATGCCACGGCTGAGACTCTACAGAGCCCACTTAGTCTTTCCCCGCTGGCTTTTTGCTGGGTCCCACCTATGTAGCAGCCTGGGCCCCATCGAAAGACAGAACCATACTATGATTTAAACAGGGGAAATGTTATATAAAGAATTATTAACCTATGATAAAAGAGTCACTAAGGGCCATAAGGAAACCCTAGATGGTTCCCTAGGGCTAAGGGACAGTCTCCTAGGAAGGACAAACTTGGACGGGGGCCCCTTCCAAAGGCTGGGGTTCAGATCTCTTCGTAAGATGTGGTTTACTGGCCCCTGGTTTAGTTCACTGCCGTAGTGCGGCAGCACCTAAGGAAGTCACCCACCTTCCGAATATTCACCAGTTCGTCTCTCCACCCCCCACGGCTGCCATTTTGGTCTGAGCCACCATCATCTCTCACCTGATGATTGCAATAGTCACCGAACTGGTCTTTTGATCTTGACCCATATTAGGTCAGTTTTTGAAGCAGAGCCTGCGATGGAGATCCCTATGCGTGTGACTTATTGAGGACATCTCCCGAAAGGAGGGAGGGAGGGTGGGAACAGGGAGGGGGGCGGGGCGGGGAAAGCTAAGTGAAGAAAGAGAGCAGCTTCAGCCTGAGCCCATGGGTAGCCCTGGAGCATGAATCGTATCCCAGAGTTGGTCCCAACTTGAGGCAAGGGGGCTGGCATTTGGACCTCCCTGTCGCCCCCGTCATTGGCTGCTCTGGGGCGTGCGTGGGGATTACAGCCTCCTGAGCAAGGAAGCTCCCATTTGGGCTAAGTGCAGCTCTCACTCTGGGGAGGGGCGTCTACGAGCCTCTAGTGAACTGGATCCAGACCTCGAGTCCAGTAGCGTCCTGCTCAAGCCCCGACCTTGCCCTTCTCTGGCCGTGGGACTTTGGGTGAGCTTCTTCCTCCCTGTGGTTTCATTTCCCATCTGAAGGTGGGGCCCGGCCCGCCAGCTATCCACGGGACTAATTCTGGGGCCGGACACATGGGCACCAATTTTGAACGCCCCTCTGGACATCCATGTAGATTAAAAAGCTGTCTAAGACGACCTGAGCCCAGAACCCAACTCTATTTTGCATAGACACAAGATTACTTTTTTTCCTTGTTTGGAATGATCTGGAGTTTTCAGGAATAAACTATGGTGTAAGTTAAGGGAAGACGGTGCTTTGTTTCGCTCAGGACCCTTTACCAAGGTCCCCTTGCCCGTTTGAAGGCTTGAATTACCAATGGCGAAGCTTCTCCGGGTGCCTGAGTTGCCCCCACACAGCAGAACTGTCTCGGGTCTGCGTGTGTAGCTTCATTCACTGGGATTCTACGTCCAAGTTCAAGCATCTGATTACTTGACTGTACCTTCCAGATGAGTTGTGCCAGAGCATTTACGTGTCGGAACGTGTTTTATTTTGTCATGAATTCCTTTCCTTTCCCCCTTCATCTTACACTTGGGATATTACATTTATTTAAAAATGCGTATGTAGGTAGGTGATATTAATTATGAATTTCATTCCAGTTGAATAGGAGCCGTGAAATATTTGTTTTAAAAACCAGGCCTTGGCTCTGATACAGCTGAGAACCACACATCTGAACAGAATTGGCAATGTCTTCTCTTTCCCCAGGGGACCCACAGCCTCATTCAGAGACGCGTTTGAGCTACTTGTTAGCTTGAGCCGAATTTTACAAGGACAGAGTCCTCTTTGCCCTCCGGTCCCATCTAATTCTCCTTTGTTGTGATATATACCTCCTTTTAAGGCGTCTACTGAAGACCCAAGTACTTTTCATCCCGCCCCCGTGGGCCCCCGTGTCCTGGAATGGTCCCTACCAACGGAGTGTGGCTGGCTGCCTCCCCTCCTCTGGGCGGAGCAGAACTGGGCTTTTGCCAGATTTAGGTCTCTGTCCAGTGAGCAACTAATTGCTTTCCTCTGTAGGAGACACAACAACAACCGAGAAACAAACAAACACACTTTTT